CTCAATGCTATCTTCTACGTTTCAAGGTGACACTCATAAAGGCAGATGGATCAGTTCTGTTATAAAACCATTATTATAAATCCGGATAAGGCGGATTTATAATAATGGTTTTATAACAGGACTGATCCATCTGCTTTCATATTAACTTTCACAATAAGTTGTAAAAGATTGTTTCCAACCGAAAACTACTTATGCGCTTCTCCTTATTGCTCATACGCTCGGAATTCAGCTTAATGAACGAACAAAAGGTTAGTTTTGGTTGGTTTTCTGTGTTGTGTTGCATACTAGCTTTTGTACCGTTTATCTACGTTTGATTTCCATTTTCGTAGGTGTATCCAACAGCATAAATCTTTCGAAGAATTTCTGCTTTCCATTAGTTGCTTTCAGGGTAGCCTTTCTGATCCTCGAAACTATGGACTGAAAATGCTTAAGATCGAAATAACATGCATATCTACAATTTTAAAGCTCTTACCTCTAGCGTGTTGGTTTTTCCCTCTCAATCAAGCACACAACTGATATTTTTTCCTCGTGTGCAAGTTGAATTCTATATGTACAGCTGCTCGTTAAAGGGAAGGCTTAGCAGAAGTTACAAGTACTTATTTATTCTGGGTTGAAGTGCTTAATGTTTTAAAGCAGACAAAAGCTATATATCTTTTTTTTTCAAAAATGAAACAACTTCATGTAGCTACTTTGATTTGACAAGGAGCTATTCTATCAAGTTGTCTATTTCTTGCACATCAATACTTTCGTATGGTATTAAACCACTAGTCTCTTGATTATCGGTAGCTCATGTTACTCTCATTCAGCGGAATATACGTATTGTTCCAGATGTCGTTTCAACTTACCCCTCACCGAGAAGTTGGATGGAGACATAGAATGTCGCCTTTTCACACCTTATGATCGTCGACATGTTGTTGGACGACTATATCTTTCCGCTCATTTTGTCTGTTTTGCTAGTCGTGTAAGTCATTTTATCACTTTACACTTTCACTTTCAAAGTCATTTACTTCATATTTGTTCATCATCCTTGTTTACGTTTACAGACTGAGCGTCTAGTGTCTGTTGTACTTCCCATTGTCGACATATCCTCTGTAGAAGAATGTACCGCCGCATATGGAGAGAATCTTACACGAGGCTCTGGATTGCTTATTTGCTTACAAAATGGGGTAAGAGTCAGTTTAGTTGGGAAAGAAGTTTTCTTAGGGCACAAAAGAATAATTATTTGTGACTAGCGGAGAAAAGGTGGCTAAAGTTGATTTTGGTGTTCGATTTCAGGGAACTGTGGTATTTTCTTGGGTACCAGACAGGGATCGGGTGCTTGCAAAGATTACCACATTTGCAGAAAGGTATAGGATTGAAACTACGATGAAAAAGGTGTCGAGAAAGGTTAGTTGTTTTCTCCCATAACATTTGAGATGCAAAGTTTTTCTTCTTCTTTTTCCTTTTTCGCTTTTTGTCGCTTACTGAGTAGATACTTTGAAGGCGCTCATGAGATTTTCAGCTTTTGGGAATATCCTTAGTCTATGCTAAGCTTTTTTCAGGACTCTTCACCTGCAAAACTAGACTGCCTCCAGTATCCTCTTATCCGCAAGTATCCATGTGGAGCTGATGCTGACGAGAGTTGTCGAGAGAAGTGGAAACGACTTTTCGATGACTTTGGAAAGGGAACGACTATGTATCGGACAGTGGAGCTCCATCGACTATTGCTGGAAGGTGTACCGATCGACCTTCGTGGAGAGGTACCGGTATAATCATCCTATATGTTTTTGACAATTTTTATGCAGTAAATTGCAGATATGGATGATTTGCTCAGGAGCCAGGGCAGAGATGGAGCTTCATCCTGGATATTACGAAGAACTATTAAGGAAACATGAATCGGTTTATACAATAGCACTTG